CGACTAGATGGAAGGGAAGAGGAGTAAGAGGATTGGAAGAGGAGGGCATCAGGTCCAGGAAGAGGCTCGAAACTCGACCACCAAGATCGTCGGGTTTCGAATAAGAGGGGCTCGGGACGGAAGTACAACCCGATAGCAGACACACTTCCTTACTAGATCTGTGAACAGAAGTGAACGAGGGGACCGGGTCACGGGTGGGTCACGGGTCAAGGAACCAGATCCACAATTCGCCAGGACATGAGCAGACAACGGCGGAGAGAGTTGTGGGCGAGCCTCATACAGGGCTCTATCGTCTCTCCCAGAGACGTCCGGTGGCCGTCCTCGTCTCTTGCGACTACGAAATTTCTTGGCAACCTTATTCCAAACTTCCTTCTAAGCATTGGGGGTGAGACAGTGGGGGTCATTGTACAAGAAAAACTGGGAAGGGGGAGAAGCGTAGGACCAAGTAAGAGGAATAGGATAATAAAGATTACCAACCTCTAACCATATAGACCTAGGGAAAGAGAGAGGGTCTAGAAGTTCAACTAGAACTCGAATCGCTCCTTTAGTTTAAGTTTCCAGGGAGATCCAATGAATAGAAACCATAGACCCACACCCGGAAGCAAGTCGCCTAAAAGTTTCTGGACACCAAGCATGAAGAGGGATATGTTGAAAGGTAACCCAAACCTCTTGCTTCTTGAAGGAACCGTCAAGCTGTGACCATTGCCAAAGGGAGCAATGAGCCCCATGGAAGGTGAAGTTGCGAGAGTCCTGAAGCACTGCCGAAGCCTCTTGGGGGGTAGGAAAAGAGAAAAGGATGTCTCCACAGGAAAGGAGACTACAAGAAAGTTTGGCAACCCCCATTGTTCTGAGCAACCTTCTCAATACCCCTAATATTAGTACGGGTCAGGTTGCAGCTACCAACCAGAGACGCCCGAAGCTTGGAACTAGACCTTTCCACCTCTACATGAGGGATAGAGATATAGAAAGATGGAAGGGGGAGTATAAGGCAGAGTCCTGGAGAGATGACAGCGCTTAGGAAGGTGAAAAATGCAACTTCTGGGACAATGAGGAGGGAAAGGGGTCGGAAGACACAGAGGCCACAGCCTGCGGATAAGAGGCAGCTTTGGACCTGTTGGTGGCTTTCGACGGGAGAACATTATCCCGAGCTCTAGGCGAGGGGGTTTGGGGTAGAGGGCATATACTTCATTCTAGTTTCTAGGATGGGGGTGGAGAGACTGACCGGGTGAAGGATGTGGGAGACGGGGAGGACGAAGGGGGAGACAAAGAGGACGACGAGGACGATTAAATATTTTAGTCTCCCTTGGGAAATGTTGGAGTTGGAGTTCCTCTTGTATGACTATCTAGAAGTGTTGAAGTCCCCACCCAAGCACCACGAGGGGTGAGGGAGGGATGCTACGAGGTCCAGTTCAGCCCAAAGAAGAGTTCTAAGCTGGGCTGAGTTTGGACCATAGATTGCAGTAAATTTCCACAAGACCCCGTCTGACCGTCTAGAGAGTAGGTCCCGATATGGGAGGGGCAGTGTTTAGCGCACACATCTCTCACTACCTTTTGTTTGCACAGCTATCCCAGGCCGCGGATGTTCCACGAAAGGATTTTCATATCCACTTTGAGGGGGAGGATGAGGAAGCCAGTCCAGGGGACCTCCTGTTACCTGAGTCCCGCGAAGGGGTGGTTGAGAGGACGAGGAAAAAGCCAAAAGTTGTTTTTTGTCGTAGTTCACCAAAGAGAAGAGATTAAGAATTTCTCTATGGCCTTTAGAACACACCTTCATGCGACGGTCAGCGTCCGAAGATAAGAAGTGGTCGAGGGGTCCTTCTGGTCTGTCGACGGGAAAACCCATTACCCTGAAAAATTCTATCATCTTATCTGATTGATTTTCCGCCTGCTTGCTGGTAGAAACAGCCTCTCTTTCATGAGTGTCGTTATCTCCCCTAGGTACCAGAGAAGAAGGGTCCGGGGCTTGCAGTTCCTCACGGGGGGAAGAATCGAGGATGATAGCCGAGGTAGAAGGGACAGAGATGCAAGGGGGGGGGAAATGTCTCAGGGGCCAGTGGAGGAGAGTTAGGGAGCGAGAGAAGGGGACCAGGATCCACTGTGACGAGACCAAAAAGGGGCGGAGGCGAGGGGGAAAACCGAGGGGTAGTAGTCTATTCCCAAGAGAGGCTCGGGGTCACGGAGAGAGGGTAAGACCAACTTTCCCCAGAAGGAGGTAACCAGGGTGCTAAGGGGGCAGAAGTAGGGGTGGGCCGAGGGGTACCTGCCAAGAAGGGAAAAGGGCCATAAACCTGGGGCCTCCCTGAGAAGAAGGTCGGGTTAAAGGAGAGGTGAAAGCAAGGTTGGGGAAAGTCGCTAGCCAGGATGGCTGAAAGAGGTAACAAAGGGTGCCCTTTGAGACGGAGAAGAGGAAGGTTGGGGGTCGATACTTGACATATGAGCTCGAGTTGGGAAATGAAGGGGAAGAACGGGGTACTGCGACCAATCCATCAAAGATAAGGGAGGAGGGGTGGAAGAGGAAGCAACTCCGAGGGGGGGACCGGAGAAGGGTGGGGTAAGCGAGGGGACAGGAACGAACAGGAGGACGTCGGGCGGAAGCGATGTAGCGGGGGAGGAGATGATGAAGAGCGAGGAACAGCCAACGGAGGAGGCGAGAGGGGGGGGGGAGAGGCCAAACAAGGCTCGAACAGAGCAGGGGAGACATAGGGGGTAAGAGCGAGGGGGGTAAAGGACAGAGGCGAACGAAGTGCAAGAGAAGTCATAGAGGAGAGGGTTAGGGGTTTGAAAACCACCTCGATAATGGTCCCAAGGCGTGAAGGGTCCGACGAGGGGGGGTTGTGTCTGGGACAAGTCCAGCAGAAGAGATGACGTGACCTGAGCAACCGGAGAAGCGTCACCTCTGAGGACAGGCCGGTTGATGGGGCCTAAGGCTGGAATAGGAGGCGGAGGCAGTGAGGTATCAAGTGCAAAAATCGAGGAAAGGGCAGCACAAGCAAGAGGCCCTCTGGACAAGCCACTTGGCGAGTGGCACTAGAGGGTCTTGTCAGTGAGGGACCTCCGGGAAGACGAGTGGAGAGGCGAGAGGTGACACACCGAAGAAGACCCGGTCGCCAACCCCGAGGAGGCCGGGTGGCCCGAGGAACCCGGCAAGTGAAGAAGTCGGGCTCTCAACTTGAGAGCGACCATTGATGCCGCTTTGAGGCCCAAACAGGTTCCCATCCCCAAGCGAAGCACACCTGACGTCGTCAGAGCACGGATGGTCCATGTGGCATGGTGAGAACGCAGGGCGAGGCGGCGAAGACAGCGGAGAGGACGCGAGGTGCCCAGAAGGCGAAGTTCGAGACTTGCGTCGGGGTCGCCTGGGGACTGTCCCTGATTTAAAGCTGTCGTTGGGGCGGCTCGACCTAAAGGTGATGTCATCAGAGGAAGCCGACCGTTGACAGCTGTTGGAGAGGCGTCGCTTCCTGGTCACCAGGTTCCAGTCCGACGGTTTGGGCCTCTGAGGTTTCCAATCATGTCAGTGGTTGAAGAAGGAATCAGAGACAAGAGACGCCATGGACCAGGAAATAGAGAGGGGGAAGAAAGAGTCTCCCACCCTAAGCTAAATTAGGGAGGGAATGAGCCTCTAGAAGGAGGCGCATGGAGCCGAGAGGTAGAAACTCCAAAGACTTCCAGTGGATAGCGACCAGAGAGCCGTAGGCTTTGGCCACTTTTTTGAAAATCACTGGCGACCACTCATGAAGTGGGATATCAACCACCGTAATCCAGATTCTCTGCTTTCTGAAGGACCCCTCGAGAGGCGACCAAGGGTGAAGTTTTAGAACCACCCCTCTAAAAGAAGGACGAAAGCTAACTTGAGAGATTCTCCGAGCACACTCGCGCGAGGGAAAGATGAAGAGGATCCGTCCCTTGGACATGGCCTGGCATGTCACTTGAGGCTCGCCCCAAAGACGATGTGCCCATTTCTCGCCCCTTGTGTCATCCCTTCAAGGAGAGAAGGATCCCACGAGAGAAGCTTGCAATTTGACAGTGAGGGGGTGGCCCACCTCCTCCGGTGTGGAAAGAATCAGAGTCAGAAAAGGAGAGCTCCTTTCCTGGGGGCTAGACTTAGAACCAGGACAAGCAAGGCCCTTATCGAAGGACTTGCGCATCTGGTTGGGCAAGGGGTGGCAAGAGGCTACAACTTGAGCATAGGTGGGAGGGGATGAGATTGAAGCACAGGCAGCAAATATAGCTGATTCAGAGCAGCGGTGTGAGGTTAACAGGTAGATATTGTAAATAGCATTCCATGCTGAAAGAGGGGAAGGAGGAAGGGGGGGAGGAGGCTTTATGGCTTCATCTTCAGTTGTGTCAAATAATGGCCAGGAATTGTATTATGAGACAAAAGTAACACCAGTCAAGGATGCAGGAGTGAAGTACCCAGGGCAGCAACTGAGAGTAGCGAATTCTGCATGGCAATAGCTAAGGAATCTCATAAAACAAATGGCCAAAAAATCATGGGAAAACTGCAGTACTCACCATCCCTGGAGAAGAATCTGGCTTTTGAGGTCTGAAAATAGACCATGGGTCTAGCAAGGTAAGAAATAACTACATAAATTTACCATGAAGGGGGGGAAAAAAAGATATTGCTTAATAGTTAGCACTATTGTTCTGAGGGTGTATGAAGTGTTACTCTAGCCGACATTGGGATTTTAGTGATTTAGCCACCAAGGAACAACTTAACAAAAGGAATTTGTAGGCATAAACTAATTGTTATACGCACACACAGAAATAAACATAAAAGCATTCACATAAGTGTGTTTGAATGTATAAGTAAGATCTCTTCCAAACCTGTTGGAAGCCAAAACTAAACAAAACTGTGAGCATATCCATAAAGAAAAGCTAGCAATTTGAAAGTTGTATAATGATCGTTTAAATCTAAAAGAAAACAAAAGAAAAATACCAGGGAGACAGTTTTAAATAAAAACTCATCATGTAGACAGTCTTAGACAAAAGCATCTCACCATGCACAAGTCAAGGATATTTGATAAGGATCCACCATCTGAAATCTTAGGTAAAATGGACTTAAGAGCATTCAAATGTGATTCTATTTGATGCATAGCCCAGCTAAAGAGAAGTCCACCATCGTAATTCTCTTCACTACCAGATGTGTCGTCTGCAAATATGGCTCGGTATTGATTAACAACATCAAAAAGATGCATCCTGTGGCAGTTCACCATGCCTTTTAAGTATTCATAAACATTTCTCTGGTCCAAGTCATCTATAATTCCCACAAGCCACGCCTCTCGGCATCTCAGAAACTGTTTTCAATGAAAATATCTATGTTAACAAGAGCTACAAAAGCAAGGGGTTGCAACAAAACAGACATAAAACATGAGCTATATGAAAAAGCCAACACAAACTGACAATCAAGCTAATCTGTAGAGAAGGTTAATACAATGATCTTCCCAAGATGCAAAAATCCTTCTATAAAAAGACCATTCTCTGCCAAAAGTGCAAGAGTAGAATCTATTAAGAGCTAAACAATGCATTACCTGTAGACGCATTTCAGACTCAGTGAATACCCCTATGCGGCGTAGATATCCAATGATACGAAGGCATTCAGGCAACTGCAACCATGACATAGTGTAAAAAAAAGTAACAAATTTCTCAATCTTGCTGTTAAGACAACTAGTTTAGTATTAAAAATGTCACAAATTATATGCTTCTTTAGAAACGGACAAACCACACATCCTCGTATAAACTGAGAAAAGTGAAAACAAGCAACAGGGACTAATTCATTTCTTCTTCTAGAGGTAACTAGTCATAAGGCATTCTCTCAACCTATTAGTCAAGTTTGCAAAAGTACCTGGATATTTGAACGAAGTCTCTGGAGAAGTTGAGAAAGCATTGATTGGGTAGTCTGACTAACCTCCTCTGCTAACGATTGAATAACAGGCAACCTTCGTTGTCAAAAGTCCCATGTCAGCCAATAGGATAAATTTATAAAAGAACACTATACATTTGCCAATGAAGTTGCACTCACCTTGGATGCATTGTTGAAAGCTTGGTTACAAACGCCTCCAAGTCAAGGGCTTCATCATAATTACCATTTCGTACACATCTGCAAATGAATCAATTTAATTTTCTCTCTAGTTCACTTAAATTTCCCAGCCAAAAATCCGAAGCTAAATCAACTTCCCAGGTAATGTCAGATGCACAGAACGTGTGAATGGTGACGAGAACAAGAGCTGCTTAAATAAATGAAGCAGCATTACCTATCAAATAATTTAAGAAAACGGCATTTATTACAGGAATCCTCTGTGCTCCCTTCCAAATAACTTAAAGGGTGAAATCTTCATCAGCTACTAAAACTATAAAAGAACCTATGAGCCAAAACCAACAAGGCTCAGAATCAGTTTGTCTTTTCGTGTTAAGGAACAGGTCCAATTCTCCAAGCGCCTGTTGAAAAGAAGAACCTGGACCCCCTCCCACCAATGGGTGGGAGGGGCCAAATGGGCTACCAGATAGCCCAGTGGGCGCGGTAATTTCCCTCCCCTACGCACATCGTTTTCAAAACCCTTCCCCCTCTATGTATATCCCTCCTCCTCTACTCCCAACTTGTCATTTTCTCAAAAATGTAACACGGTTTTGAGCTCTGTCTCCCTCTCCTGTGCAAATCACCCATCAGCTCTCCCTCTCTCACAAGAGAGCAGCAACCTCACTCACTAGCCATGGCATAAGTCCTCATCCTTCCCAAAAACTATATCCCCTCACCCTCTCTTTCCCAATCAGTTGTGCACATCCTCATCCTAATGCTTAATATTAGGTGTCCCTCTGATATTGTCTCTCTCTCTCTCTCTC